AGGGATCTTGTGACATAGTTTATGTAAGGTTCACCTCAGAATTAATTCCAGGTTACTAGATGCCATCGAAAAGCAATGCAAGTAATTTCTACTGAAATGAAACAAATTTTAAGAGAAATATTAATCCTTGGGGTGAATCAAGTTTTCATCATATCAAAAAAAATACAGAAATGGTTTTTGATATCCATAAATTGTAATAGTAGATAAGGTCATATTTAACCTTCAAAACGACAGGAAATACAATGGGTGTGTGGCCTTGTAGCCGAAACAATAACATTCTCTAATGTAAATTGCCACGTAGCGGTAGATTTGGCAAAAAAAAAAGTTGATATGATATTTGTGCTGTCGTCCAAGGTCAGAAAATATTCTATAAAAAATCAATTTTTAAATTAAAATAATTTTTTTATGAAAACGAAAAAAAAAAAAACAAAAACAAAAAACAAAAAAAAACAGCTAAAAACGTAGATGGCTAAAATTTTTATATGTATTTTTCTGTTTTAATTTTTTGGATGAGGGATTATTATTTACACTATCTATATTCGGACTATTATCCTCATCTTTGTTGTTGTCATCACAACGTTTCGGTCGTTGTTCCCTCCAGCTTTCATCAGGTGTGTATCGATCTGGTTAACCTACAGGGAATTCTGAACTGAATACTTTATTTAATCGACGGAGGTAGACTGTTCTAGTCCCACAGATCATTTCTAGGGATATCACATCTAGTTCTTATTTTTAGTACTGTTTGGTTATTACTGTTGGGTTTTTTAAAAACTGAGTCCAAGTACACTTCTCGGAAACTGAAAATTGATATTATATCACTAAATTCAAGACCCAACGCTTTAATTCGCCAGGCTATTGTTCCGAGAGACAATGTTCTGTGGAGAACTTGGAGATTTAAACCTAAACTACCTGCTGATGAGTAGTACTGTTGTTTTGTTTATAAAACGTTGTGCAGATTTACAGAAAAGATTTTGAGAGAAATATTTAACAAAGTTTTAAGATTAGATATTGTTTTCGGCGGTTTTAAATGTAAAAAAATGGCAGAAGCTATAATGGCTATGTAAGTGAGGCCCTCATCTATATAAAAAATCAAAATATCAGTTCTTTGATTTTTCAAACTTTAAATTTTTAAGCCATAGCCCAACATATACCATTTTGGAATCAGAACGATTCCATGAGCAAATCAAAAATATTACGGACCGTATCCGGACCCGCAATCCTGAAATTTTGGATTTCAAGTTTTCATTATTGCGATTGTTTTTAGATTCCGCCATCTTGGCTTCTACGCATAAAAATAAATAAAGAGACGCAACTCTCTATCTTTTCCGTAGCTCATGTTTAAATGAAAAAAAAATACTGTTCTCAAATTACAATGTTTCAAAATAAAATTGTCCGTCTTTTAAACTTTACTCCTAGAAGCCATAGCCCAACATATCATACCATTTTGGAATCAGGCGGACTCCGTAAGCAAATTAAAAACGTTTCGGGCCTGATCCGGACCTGCAATCCTGAAATTTTGGATTCACAAATTTTCATTACTGTGACTACTTTCGGCGATTTCTTGACGTATTTTTTTTTTTTAATATTTTTGTACGTTAACAATTTTTATAACTTGTAAATAAATTTGGGAATAATTAAAATTAATTGCTAAATCCATCCAAAGTCACCTACGAATTAAAATTGTTTGTACGGAAAGTAATGACCTGCGTACATCAAATTGTCTTTAAATTAAGCGTTGGCAGAGGAATTATCGTTGAACATTTAAAATGTAATCTTAAATATTAATGCGATACTTAAATGTAGCGATCAATTTTTAAGTTCTGTAGTATATTGTTGCCAACAGCATACGGCAACCGCATGCCTAGGATCAGATTGATCAAAAGAGCCAAGGCTGCAGCAAGGAAAAGAAATTTAGGTGTAAATGAAAACCCAGATAAATCAGCAATCATGAGAGCTTCCAATGCTGAGAATATGCAAAGACTTAGGGACTCTCAAACTTCTGAACAAGCTGAAGGCTCAAGGAAGAGCTCTCCGCAGGAGCTGGCTTAATTGCCACCCAATAGGGCGTCTCTTAAACTATTCTGCAATAAATGGTAAAGTCGAAGAAATAAAGTCAAGCTGAAGCCAGAGGAATTCAGTTATAAAATTAAGTTGACAAACTTCCAGATACTTCCGAGGCTGGTCAGAACTCAACTGAATGGTGTTTTCTGCTCGCAAATCTTTAACTAAAGAGATTCTTGAAATTCTCACCTTTCAAAGCTGTGAAAATGAACTCGCCTGTCAAATTAGTCAGAGGAGTCCAGTTATAAAATTCAGTTGACAAACTTCCTGATACTTCCGAGGCTGGTCAGAACTCAACTGAATGGTGTTTCTGCTCGCAAATCTTTAACTAAGAGATTCTTAGAAATTTTCACCTTTCAAAGCTGTGCAAATGAACTCGCCTGTCAAATTAGTCAGAGGAGTCCAGTTATAAAATTCAGTTGACAAACTTCCTGATACTTCCGAGGCTGGTCAGAACTCAACTGAATGGTATTTCTGCTCGCAAATCTTTAACTAAGAGATTCTTAGAAATCTTCACCTTTCAAAGCTGTGCAAATGAACTCGCCTGTCAAATTAGTCAGACTTTCTCATATCAAGGCAAGTATCCTAAATCCAGTAGGCACCCCACTTCTAAAACAACAACAACAAAAAGCAAAAAAAAAAAAAAAAAAAAAGCAAAAAAACAAAACAAAAAGTAAACAAAAAAGAACCACAGATAGACATCACCAGGATTATGAGTTTATTTTGTTTTGGAAAGGATAAGATAAACAAGGCAACAAACTGATCAATACCTTTATATTTACCAGTGCTCATATTGCAATTTTTGCTGTTATCATTATATGTTTTTTTTTTTACCAGAGCTCATATTGCAATTTTTCTTGTTGGTATTGCTTTTCTCTGGCACTCCTTATTATTGGATTGTATTTATTTCTATGCTTGGTCGACTTAGGACAGGACCCAAAGAGTTGTGAGTTCAATATCACCTGGAACTAGAACATTCTAACCCAGCGAGCAAAATAAAGGGTTCAGTTCGACATTCCAACCACCTGAAGAAGGCCGGAGCGTACAACTACCGAAATGTGATAAATATGGCAACAAAGATGAGGACAATAGTCCGAATAATGTAAATAGTATACAGAATACCTCATCTCAGAAATGTAGACAGATACCGAAATGATCACTATCCATTTCCCAAATCTATTTATTTGTCTGTATATACGTAAATATATATATATATATATATATATATATATATATATATAAAAAAAAATAAAAAGAACTGTAAGATTTATAATCCGGTGTTCTTAGCAATTATTTTTATTTTTAAAAAACAGTGCTCAATACAAACAGTAGAGCAAAATATTATAATTATTTTCTTTTTACAAATGGATGGAATCATATTTTTTTTAAATGCGATGGAATCATATTTTAAAAAGAAAATTATAATACGTAAAAATATATGTATATTTCCAAATGACCATATATTTTCCATTCTTGAGGAGGTGATCTCACCGCGCAGTACCGTTGATATTTGCGTGAAAACTGTGCCACGGATTGACACTAGGCTTGTCACGAAAGTCACAACTCATCCTGAATGAGGTTTTGAGCCTAAACTTATTCAAACTGATCTCGCCATATTATACACTCTCTTTCTCGCGGCAACTGTTGCTAAGATAAGCTCAGCATAGTTGCAGAATAAACGACAGATCGGCTCCTGTTTCCTTAAGCCCCATCAATATGACCTGTGAGTGCCAAATTCTCCACGACTTATTTTCTCAGTGTGTCGCAGACATTTTATCAGCCTCTTTCTGATTTTATGCAGAAGTGACCCCACGGATGAGGAGAAGAGTAGAGGTGGCAGTTATACAGAAGGATACTGAGAATTACATGAACGGGCATGAACAAAGAAAAGAGTACTGGGTTGCTATGTGATATCCATTCTCTTATAAGGCGGTGAATTTTGAACAATCTCCACACGGATGAGGAGAAAACTGGTGACAGAGGAAATGTGTTTTTCCAGAAGATACTGAAAATTCCATGGACGGAGCAAGTAAGCAATGAGGAAGTCTTAAAGAAAATGGCAACAAAAAGAACACTTATTCTTGAAATCGGCAAATAGACACATAATGAGGAAAGAAGTGGGGGTGCTTGAAAAACAACCCTCACAAGGGCAAAAGAGATATGGAAAGACAGCAAGACACTTACCTGGTGACCTTGTGTGAATGTATGGTGGAACGAGATGGGGAAGGAGTCTTAGCAAAGGGAGATAAACTGTTAAAGGTCACAAAGAATAGGAAGTTGTGGAGAGCCTTGATCACCCAAGATCTGAAGGGTTGCACCGCAAAGAAGTCGTCTGTGATTTTTTTTCTGACTTCCAGAAATAGTCAAATGCTTTCTTTTGTTATGAACCTGGACTTTGTATTAACATGTGGCCATTTTGAGGCTTTTACTTTTCACAAGACGATTAACGCACTGAAAACGGGATGTCAAGATGCAAACATGCATTGGACTAGCAAAAGAAGAATTGAAAAAGGTAAGGAAGGTACTGAGAAATGGAAAGATTTCATTAGAAACAAAGAAAAGAGTGCTGGATTGCTATGTGATATCCATCCTCTTACATGGCAGTGAATATTGGATAATCTCCCCCCGGATGAGGAGAAAACTGAAGGCAACAGAAATGTGTTTTTAAAGAAGATCCTGAAAATGGGCGGAACAAGTAAGCAACAAGCACGTCTTAAAGAAAACAAAAAGAACACTCATTCTTGAAATCCGGAAGTGATATCTGAAATTCCTTGGACACATAATGAGGAAAGAAGGCTTTAAAAGCTTAACCTTCACAGGGCATTCAGTGAATATCAAACACACTTCCAGAAAAATCTAGCTTGCTAAATATCTTCTCGGGGTGAGGCGTCCTCATTTTCATTAATTTTTCCCATTTAATATTTTTTTCCTTCGAACAGTTGATTTCTTTCTTTCTTTAATTTGTTTGATTCATTCGTTCGTTTCTTCCTTCTTGTTTCTGCATGATATTTTAATTTTCGTTCATTTTCGTCATGTAACCTTTTTCATTCGGTCCGTTGATCTTTCTTTCTTTCTTTCTTTCTTTTTTTCTTTCTTGCTTGCTTGCTTGCTTCATCGTCCATCGTCCATTCATTCATTCGCTTCTTCCTTCTTGTGTCTACATGATATTTTCATTTTCGTTAATTTTCTCTATTTAACATTCTTCCTTCAGTCGATCTTTTTTCTTTCTTTATTTAAAAATTTTTTTTTTTACTTAGTTTTTCATTCATTCCTTCTTTCTTGTTTCTACATGATTTCCTTTTCGATCATTTTCTGTATTTAACTTTTTTCCTTCAGTCAGTTGATCTTTCTTTCTTTCTTTCTTACTTTCTTTCTTTCTTTCTTTCTTTTTTCTTCATTTATTCGTTCATTCAGCCGCTCGTTTCTTCCTTCTTGCTTTTAAATGTTATGTTCATTTTCGTTTATTTTCTCCATTTACTATTTTTATCTTCAGTCAATTAATTTTACTTTCTTTCTTTCTTTCTTTCTTTCTTTCTTTCTTTCTTTCTTTCTTTCTACCTACCTTAGCGTCGCTTTAGACCACAAGTGTAAAGGGCATTCAGTGAATATCAAACTCACTTCCAGAAAAATCTCTGAAATTCTAGCTTGCTAAATATCTTCTCGGGGCGAGGCGTCCTCATTTCATATTTATATTCCTTTATTTATTCATCTGGTTGCTGAGGCCGTAGAAATTCTGCGCTTGTTGACTGTTGACAACGGAGATATCATTTTTCTCACACACACACATATATTAGGCAAACACTAAGACGAAGTATGTGTAGACGGAATAATGCTTTTTTTTTAAATTTATGCTATTTATTGACAGTTAAATATATGTTTTGGAGCGTGCGATGCCGCGACGCTAGAGTTCTTGTTCAAATCGATCAAGCGAGAATTTTGTTTGAATTTTGAAAAGTTATAAATCCACGAAATTTTCTTGTTATATGCATTTATCTGTTAAAGTGAAATGGACTTAGTATAATCCAATTATTGGATTTATAACTTTTGCCTATGCATGGGAAAATTACGGCCTGAAGAAGACAGTTTGAAATTGTCGAAAGTACTTGGCATGTGTCTTCCATCTGACAACAACTCGAATGTAAAGGAATTGATAGTAAGTTAATGTCTTATTAAGTTCCGTTAGGGAAGTGATTTCGCCATTAATCACACTAACATTGCTATTTAATTCCTTGTATATTCTATATTCTATAAAATATAAGCTGTCCACTCTAATATATATATATATATATATATATATATATATATGCAACTTAGTTGGGCTGGTCGTGTTGTGAGAATGAATGAGCATAGGCTTCCTAAAAAGGTGGTGTATAGACAACTACCAAACTCCAAGCATTCAGTTGGATGTCCACTCTTACGCTACAAAGACAAATTGAAAGGCAACTTGAAACATTTCAACTTTGATCTGAAAACCTGGGAAACCGAAGCATCAAACCGAAAGGATTGACATAAGACATGTTTCATTAAGTTAAAGTACCGTGATCAGCTTCGTGAAGCTCTGAAGCAGAGACACCATCAAAATCCTGCTTTAACAAATTTCATCTGACAGTGTGGCTTTGTCACCTGCAGCAAGGCTCGGCTAGTATCGCACTTAAGAAAGCACAAATGAAATATGTCTTTCCTTTACCTGATTTTCTCCCCAATAGCCCCTGCTAGCAGGCATAAGTATGAATAAAAGGCGCCATCCAATGCTGACTTTCATTTATCTTTCACAATAGGAGAGTCTACCATATATATATATATATATATATATATATATATATATATATATATATATTTAAGCAAATAATCCCAAGAAAGGCGAGAGTGCCACTAGCATGCAAGGGTTTACAGTGAGTGAGAGTAAGAGTAAAGAGGAGTGTTTGGAAAAAGGATAACAATAAGGACGGGGATCAAGGTCAAGGCATCAGAAGATGTCGATTGACATTACATTTGAATATTTGAAGATTATAGCTATCGGGGAAGCAAGTGATAAGAAGGGAGTTCTACTGACGGGAGGTGCGAGATGAGAAGCTTTTAGAGTAGAAGAGATGGCTATATTTAGTCGTTTCGACAGTGAAAATGTGGGACCGAGATGCCAGAATCGTAGCACGCTTAAATTCAAGCAGTTTGGGAATCAGTAAAAGTAGGTCGTCGGAGCAGTTGCCATGAAAATACTTGTAGAAAAGACAGAGGGAAGCCACAGCACGTCTGTGAGAAAGTGATTGTAGACGAGATGCCAGATCAGGACCAATCACGTTGCATATCCGTCTGTGGATTTTGTCGAGGACCTCGAGATGAACAGCAGGAGCACTAGACCATATATGGCAGCAGTATTTCCATGCAAGGTCGAATGTATGATTTGTAGATTTGAAGGATGAACTCAGGCGAGAAAAACCTTCTTGCGCGACACAGAGAACCAACTTTCCTTGCGGTAGATGTAGCTATAGATGCAATGTAGTTGTAGAGTTGGGCATCAGCCATCCTAATGGGAGGCACGGTGAGTAAATCAGAGCAGTTTCGTTTTGGAGACATTCAAATTTACAAGTCATTTCCTGCCCCAGTCAACCACAGATTGGAAGTCATACGGCCAAGTTAGTTTTGTTAGGGATGTCGCATTTACTGTTGAAACAGGAGTAAATTGTAGTGCCTTCTGCGTCGATGGCAACTTGGGAATTGATGATGACAGGAAGATCGTTGACTAGAAAGAGTGCAGGGCTCAGGATTAAAGGAACTGGAGGACCTTCATTTCACAGTTTGATAGGGATGATTTTATTAAGTCAAATAATCGTCCTGTAATGCCGTATTACGAAGAAGGCCAGCGTGCCAAACCCTATCAATTGCTTTAGAGATATCTAGAGCTACGGCTTCAGCTTCTCCGTTATTGTCAAGTGCTTGGTATATAAATCCAGTTTTGGTTGTGAGCATGTCAGCCGTAGACCAGGCAAAGCGGAAAATTTCTATTGCTTGTCAGAGAGCAGATCATGTGGATGTAAGATATTTACACACACACACACACACAACACACACACACACACACACACACACACACACACATATGTCAATGAGGAATATATATATATATATATATATATATATATATATATATATATATATTTATTTATATGCAATATATATATATATATATATATATATATATATATATATATATATATATATATATGAATATATAAGAAAAAATCGGAAAAGAACACGTTCGGTTAATAATCTGAAGTTCTTAAGTATTTTTGGTTTTTAAAAACAGTTCTTAATACAAAAGTAGAGGCTAAATTATTATTATTTTTAAAAATTTGATTCCTTGGCTACATAAAAGTTCTCATGTTTGAAAATATTTTTTGAAAAATGAGAACTCTTATATAGCCAAGGAATCATATTTTAAAAATATATTATAATATATATATATATATATATATATTGGAATATATATATAATATATATATAATATATATATATATATATATATATATATATATATATATATATATATATATATAAGTTTTAGAACTTGATAATCCGTATGGGTAATCCCAAGGAGGAGAAAATCCTGAGAGCTCAATGTAAATCCAGAGCTAATATTTAAAAGAAAAACAGACCACTTTAGGATTGATGAACCATTATAATAATTTATTTCAACTAGAGTCCTTTTAAAGGAAAACCGGATCAAATCATGATCTAGCATTTAAATGAAAAAATGGAATTATTATTAAAATCTTTCAAAGTGATTTTGTTTTTTTTATATATATATATATATATATATATATATATATATATATATATATATATAATTAATTTTAGGTCAGCGAATCGTTACTGACTTTTGCATCTGAGAATACTCATATTTATCTGTATCTCACTCATTTAAACCGTTATGTAACTTCTCTCTTTAAAACTCCTCTCTTTTAAATTTTAATTGCTACTTTCACTTTTAGGGCTTTTCTGTTCTTCTACTTCTTCCGTTACAACCCTCTCTAGAGCTTTCATACATTTCCCTCTCACCCTTTTTTCTTCACTCCCACACATACACTCTCACTAAAATTTTGTTTTTTTTTTATACCCGGAATGATATTTTCCGATTTCTTTTTGACTTTGTAACTCTGATGAATTGGATCGTGATTATGATTTCAATGTAATGAATTATAACCATGGAATATTAGTGTTTGAGCCTTTTATTTTTATATATATATATATATATATATATATATATATATATATATATATATATATATTCTTTTTTATATATATATATATATATATATATATATATATATATTTAAATAGGTTTGAAACGGTACAAAAAGGGCGTATTAAGGCATTAAAACTAATAAATTTTGTATTGTAGGCCATGATAAGTTTAAAATAAAACACACACCAGTCGACCGGCTTCAATCACCTCTCGTCAGAACTGTTTACGGGGAAGGATTATGAGGAAAAGAAAAAAGTTTGTCATGGATGACATGAATGAATGGACAGGGAAGGAAAAAAAAATATACCAACCAAGCTGCTAGAAGCGCAGAACAAGCAAACAATCTCTTTGTTTGCAAAGAGCAGGTTGCCTGGACCTGATGTAAAGCGACTCCAACACCTTAAGATGGAAAAGTGAGTGCGAACTGGCCAAATATATATATATAAACACACAGGGTGTATCAAAAATACTTTTAAAAACTTTCACCAAAGCAAGGACAAAAGTTCATATAAAACATGTCTGCAAATCTTTCATTTTTGAGTTATTAAGTTTAAAGTTTACGGTAAATATTAAATGTGGAATCGGTCTTCCTCGATCCATAGTTTGTGGTGCCACGGATCTTGTCTCAGCAACACGACGATAAAAAGCAGCAAAGGTTGGATGACTGCTGCTTCCTTTGATTTGGAACCGCAATCAGCCGTGCAGCGTCGGGTCCGTTAGCATTTGCGGTCGTATGTAAAAATCAAATCTGCCTGCTCACAATATGAATATCCTGTCATTGTTAAACGGAACAATTGTCAGTTAAATCATTAGTACACACTAAAAAATTATGAAGACAGACTAGTCACAAAGGTACACGAATGGCAAATATAACCTAGTCAATTTGGCAGCGCAGTGCTATCTACTATAAAGTTCCTTTAATCTTAATAACTCAAAATCGGAGTTTATGAGAACTTTTGTCCTTGCTTTGGTGTCTGGAACCCGGCCCCAAAGTTTGTAAATATATTTTTGATACAACCCCTCTCTCTCTGTCTGTCTGACTGTATCAGTCTGTCTATCTGTCTGTCTGTCTCTATCAGTCTGTCTCTCTCTTTCTCTCTCTCTCTCTCTCTCGATATATATAAATATATATGTATTATATGAAAATATTACTTAACTTTTTAATATTACTTAACTTTTTAAATATCAATTTTTATCCCGATATCGCTGTTTCTTAGTAAAATTTCCAGTCTTTGGGGGTTGTGGATTTGAATTGTATTTCCAATTTTTTCACTTAAAAAATTGAAAATAAGGGTCTGTTTTTAATATTATTTTAATATTTTTAATATTTAACACTATATATAAAAATATCTGTCTGATGTTTCTTAAATTTTAAATATATATATATATATATATATATATATATATATATATATATATAGTGAATATTGAACTAGACAACACTCAGAGGCGAGAGGGTTTTTTCAGCTAGACGCAATCGTCAGGCCGACTGACGATTGCGTTGATAAATATATATATATATATATATATATATATATATATATATATATATATATATATATATATAAAAGGCTCAAACACTAATATTTCATGGTTATAATTTTTTAAATTGGAATCGTAATTCAATCCCATTCGATCCAATTCATCAGACCTACAAATTCAAAAAGAAAACAGAAAATATAACTCCAGGTATAAAAAAAACAAAACTTTAGTGAGAGTGTATGCGTGGGAGTGAGAAACAAGGGTGAGATGGAAATATACGAAATCTCTTGAGAGAGAGAGGTGTAACGGAAGCAAAAAGAACAGGAAAAGCCTTAAGGAGAGGGTGGAAAATAAAATTTAAAATGGAGAAGTTTTAAAGAGAGAAGTTAAATAACGGTTTAAATGACTGAGATACAGATAAATATGAGTTATTGTCAGATGCACTACCGATTCGTTGACACCGGAAGAGAACATTAGACACAATAAATGATTATACGATCCAAATTTAAAATCTAGCCAATTTACACTGCCGATGTATATATATGAATGTATATATTCTTGCTCTGTCCTGGACATAGAGCTGTTCCTGGATTTTATCCTCTTGGAAATATGATGAGTAATTATATATATATATATATATATATATATAGATAGATAATATTAGTGGAAAATATACATACATGTGCAAAATATATATAAAAAATTCCCATACATGTATATTTTCAGAAAAAAAAAAAAAAAAAAAAAAATTTCCAAGAGGAAGGATCCAGGTAGAACTCAATGTCTAGGACAGAGTAAGGATATAATAAAAAAAAACACTAATATTAGTGTTTAAGCCTTTTATTATATATATATATATATATATATATATATGTGTGTGTGTGTGTGTGTGTGTGTGTGTGTGTGTGTGTGTGTTCGGTATATTTCAGCGAAAGGTATGTTAAATTCGTCGAGCTTAGTTCGTGTGAACAGGGTCAACTTTGTTTTCCTTTTTTTAGTCTCCTTTGGACACAAAAGAGCTGTTTCCCCACGGACCCCTCCCTGGTTAAGCTAGACTCTTTTGTTTACCTTATGAGTAATTGTTGTTCTCAGCCTGCTCCCTGAATTCGGTTTTGTTATGATTCATGTCAAGATTCCCAAACTTCCCAGTTTGTTTTTGTCCCTTTTTAAATATCTTGACTGGATCAGTCTTTGATATTTCTCCACTCTGCAATTTAGTTTGTCTCTTCCCTGCCTTTAGCGAGCGAGCTTCTTGATTCTGCCTATTGGCAGAATACAGCGGCCGCTCTTATGTTTTTATAGGTTGGACGGGTCTTAGTTGTTTAGTTGTGTTTTTGAATGTTTTCGTTTATTTTTAGTTTCGTTATTTCCCTCACACCCTCATTTCATGAATCGATATTTTTATCTACTTTTATAAGAAAAAAATATATTGTGAAATTTTTATGTCAAGGGTTTTTTAGTAAGATCCCTGTGAGTATGCGGTATTGTGGTATGTGTTGGATTGAATAGTGATGAATGAGTTCTTGTGGTGAATGATTAAATTGTAATGGATAAATGGTTCGCGAATCAGATGAGCTATATGCAGGCTAGTCAGTGACGACCAGCCTTTTTCCCTTATCCTTTTGGCCTTAACAAGATAAATAAACAGGTAAAAGTAAGAAATATAACAAAGAGGTCAAATGCAGAACGTAATTGTGAGATCTAGGGTCTAAATGGGTAAAGGCGGTAGAAAGCAGTCTGCTTAACAGGAAGAGGTTATAAAGGTTTCAATAATAAGCCTACAGGAAAGAAGAAACCTACATCAAGTTACAATGTGGCATAATGTGAGAACAGCCAACATGTGTTGAAAGGGTTTCTACATGCCGAAGTACAGTAGCAGAAATAAATGTATACGAACTGGCTACTTTAAACAAAGGTTCAAATAGTAATTCGGTATTAACGGAGACCGTAGACGTATTGGGATGGCCAATGACGCATTCCAAAAGATAGGCAGAGTATTGCGAGACAGGAGGATTTCTTTGATATTGAAGAAAAGAATACTGAACTATTACGTGACATCTGTCCTTCTTTACGTCAGCGAATGTTAGACGGTCTCCTAAAAGATGAAAAGACTCGAATTCAAGCGGATTAAGAATATCACAGTCTTCTTCTACGCGTTAAAATCATATAACCTTTACGCAAATGACCTCTTTGCTAAAACTCTTTACTTAGTCGGTAAAATATACGGAGCCCCCAATTTTTGTCATAACATCTTACCTTGCTTCCTTTCTAACAATTTTTATTCATTCCTTCATATTCATTTTTCTTTCTTTCTATTTTTGTTTGCATACTTTTTTATTTTATTTTCATCAATTTTCTTTCTTTTTTATCAATTGCTCTTCTTGCAATTTCTCCTTTCTTTCTTTCTTTCTTCCTTTCTTTTTTCATCAATTATTCTTTCTTTTCGCATTTCTTATTTCTTTCTTTACATTCATTTCAACAATTTTCTTTCTTTTAAATAATCTTTCTTTTTTTCTTTCTTTCTCACTTTCTTTCTTTCTTTCTTTCTTTCTTTCTTTCTTTCTTTCTTTCTTTCTTTCTATTTCTACTTGTTTTTCCTTTAATCAAATTTGTTGTTTTTCCTTCCTTCCATACTTGTTCTATCTCCTCGAAATTTCTTTCTTTCTTTCTTTCTTTCTTTCTTTCTTTCTTTCTTTCTTTCTTTCTTCACTTCTATCGTTTCGCAATTTCTTTCTTGCTTGCTTTCTTTCACTTGTGCTATCTTTTCACCGTTTCTTTCTTTCTTTCTTTCTTTCTTTCTTTCTTTCTTTCTTTCCATCATTTGTTTTATCTTTTAGCAATTTTTTTCTTTCTTTCTCACTAATTTTCCTTCTTTCTTGCTTTCTCTGTTTATTCTTTCTTACCACTTGCTCTCCCTTTTATTCCTACAATTTTTCTTTTTTTACAAATGTTTCTTTTTTCTATTTACTACTTTATTTCCTTCTTTCTTTCCTTCTTTGTTTCTTTCTTACTTTCTTCTCACTAATTTTCTTTGTTTTATATAAAATTATCTTATATATTTCTTATATATTTTATATTTCTTAAATTCTTTCTTCTCACTTGTTTGTCTTCTCACTTAACATTCTTATTTTACATTTCCAATTTCCTTCCTGTTTTTCTTTTTCTTGTTTCTTTCCTATCATTTTTTTTATTTATTTCTTTCATTAAATATTTTTCTTTATTTTTAAAAAATTTTCCTTTCTTTCTTTTCTTATTACCACTTGAATTCTTTCTTTCTGCTTGCCAATTTTCTAGCTTTCTTTTTCTCTTCCCTATTTCTTTCCACATTCGTTTGCCTTTCGTATCATTTTTCTTCCAATTTGACACACTCTTTTACACATACACACCCACGAAAGAACAAAGACCCTCTTTAATTTAATAACCTAAATTATTTGTTCTATCGCTTTGTTGCTCTTGTTTTCAAGTCAGTCCGAGCTTTCTCAGTTGCTGCGTCCTGAATAGAGGAAGCCTTGCCATTCTTTGCAAGCTCGATCTGTTGCAGCCACAAATGTCCACTGTTTACGGACATTGGGCGGAAACAACACGCCAAAAGCAACAGCCAGAACGAGGCCCACCAAAGAAGAGTGGTTAGCATCAGATCGACACCTTCTTAAAGGGACCTGTAGATAAGAAGCTTCCTGATTCTAAAATAAAAAAAAAAATTGTCAACTTTATGCCTGATTATCCTACCCCACCACTTCAGCGCCCTTTCAAAAAATTGAACAAGTCATATTTGTCTACAATCACGATATATTTGTCGGTAACATATATTCCGCATTGTCATGATGTTCTGGTTTATCATGGCATGATAACTCACCCACCGCCACTCTTTGAGCTTTTTCTATTTAGCGGAGATTTGACATTTAATTGGTTAATCAAGACATACCCGCAAGTTTATTTTTAATTCTGACATTATGTTTCCACCTTCGCTTTAACTTTCGTTAAAGAGGTAACACTTCGGTATTAAATTTCCTTAAAAATCATTTAATCACCAGTTACTTACCATCGCCTGAAGAAGTACAATCAAAGTATTGAAACATGAAAGCATTTGTGTAGCGATTTCAATGTTTATATTATAATCTCTTATTGGCTAAACTTTCCCTGACGATCCGTTTAGGTGAAACCTAGGTAGGTTTGTCTGGCTCACTAGGTGTATCTATCTATCTATCTATCTATATATATATATATATATATATATATATATAATGCAAATAAGAGTTTTGTCACTTAGCTGATTGATGTTATTTTCAGCATCTCGACTCCAGAATTTCGTAGACGGCACCGTCCATCCACACACCAGGGGTATCAGCAATTGGCTGCTTATACTTCTAGATTTTTCTTTTTTAGATGTGCTTATTATTGGTGCAATTTTTTGTTTCATAATATATGTGTGCGTGTGTGCTTTCGCACGCGTGCGGCCGTCTGCGCGGATGTGCGTACGTGTAGAATATCGTGATTATTTGTCCTTTTTAGCGGTTTTTATTTCCCACTTTACGCTCACACCTTAACCTTTTCTCCCCCCCACCTCTTTTCTTTCAATTGTTGCCGTTTGGATTCCGGTTTTTCTAGACAGGCTTCGTTGTTAATTTTAGAGCGTTCTAGACTTTTCTTGAGTTAGGAAAATTGTATTTCATCTTTTACATAAATAATTAATTTTAATACTCAAATGATAAAGTAAATATTTATATGTTTTCACTTACATTAATTGCATAAAGAAATTTCAACGATATCATTTTCTCACTTTCGTTTATTAGACACTGAATTATATCGCTTAGCACCCTCCATAATATGCCTAGACTTTTCAGTTAACCTGATGAATGTTTGTGAGCGTTACTTGAATTATAAAAAAATTGAAAGGCTGGCAACGTTTTTTGCTTTGGTTTGTAGGTATTTGTAAATAAAATCCTTACATTTTTGTCTAGTACCAGGCGCGTCAGCTAAGATCAGTTTCCTATTTGTCTCTCTCTCTTCATATATATATATATATATATATATATATATATATATATAAGTGAGAGACAGGACAGATGAACTAAAACCCCATTGTTCGTAGCATTTCCTTTTAAAAAGTGCTCAATACTATATATATATATATATATATATATATATATAATTATATTAAAAATAAAAAAACTCAATTGTACCCCCATTTATATGTACATTTCGCTCCTCGAGAGATTTCTCTCTTCGATAAAATTCCCTGGAGCTTGTCAATACCAAAACGTTTGATAAAAAAAAGCTCCAAGGAGCGAAATCTCTCGAGGAGCGAAATGGCCATATAAATGGCGTACAATTGAATTTCATTTTTATGTAATTCATTTAAATGCTCTATAATAAATCTACTGAGCTCTCTTATGAATTCTTTTCCATTGTTTACGTTTATAACATGTTTAGCTGTTTCTCGTTCGGTTGTTTATGGCTGTACGCGTTTACGCAATGAATATAGCGTTACTAACGATACTTTTATCATTCGCTTTTACTTTTTAACTAGAAGATGGGATTAAGAGATAGAGGAAAAGAGATTAGTCTATTGTTATTTAGTTTCTCTAAAAAAGAACTCACATGATACATCGGATATATGATAAAATCATTTTTTATAAATTAAAATTGGCAGGGGGCGGTCGCACGATACGCGAGATAGCGCGTTACACAAGTACATACGGTATATAAGAAAGTAAAGTTTTTGTATATATCCCATACGGGTAAAAATTATATAGGAAAAAGGTATTGAAAATGCATCTAGAGTCTTGAAGTATATCTGACACGTTCGACGGAGGAGGGGCGTATTCAACAAAAAATCGAAAATTGCTTTTTTCACTGCAAACTATTCATATCATATCCAAGTATTTTACAAAAAATTAGAGCCGATTACACAATATTTCAAGCTCGATTTAGGTTTATAATTCGTAAGCATGCAATGAGATGAGGTAACATAAACCGTAGATTTGTCTGCGGAATATCATTACATTATTGTTAAATAATTATAGTGAAATCATTAAGGTTTTTTGTCAAAAGCATTTTACTTTTGATTGTATATTAATTTAAAATATTCCTTTTTACAGGTTTTATTTCTGAAATGGAATAAGATCATTCTAAATTTCAGAATTTTGCTATTGCCCATCAAAATGACTGGAAGAAATTGATCTAAAAACAACAATGGAAAAGAGAGGTAACAAAGCGTAAACGAAATAATTCCATTTTGTTCAACTTAGGAAACTTAGCACTGCAGCCAAAGTATTCTAAAATGCTGCCAATAACAAAGGAGAAAATAAAAAAATACCTAAAAACAAATCGAATATAGCATCAAAATTTTATTATTTTTATTTATCTGTCATGTAACTAAATGCATAATTGTCAACAATGTTTCCATGAAACTTGATATTTCCTGTAATAAATTTTTATAAATATGGCTAACCATGAAAAGAAATGTTGATCAAAACTTTCCAAAAGCCTTTAAGCGCGTACTGCTGCAAAATTATTAAATTTTGAATACGCCCCTCCTCCGCCAAACGAGTCATTTATTGAGAGTAACTTTACCAGTTTCGCAGTTCTATGATTATCAAAAGTTAAATTGAGATGGAGAGACGTGTGGCTATGCTACTGTCAGTTTCGCATGAAAAAATTTAAAAAAATATTGTATGAAAGAAAATGACAAAAGAAAAGAAATTGGAAAAGGAAGAGAAAAAAAAAAAAAAAAAAGGACAAAGAAATTTATATGAAGCAAAAAAAGATTCGTGAGAAGAAAGAAAAGAAGCGGCAAATAAAAAGAAAAAAATAGAAAGAAACATCTGTAAAGAAAGAAAATAAAAATTGGTTAATTTGCAGATTAAGACCGCGCCCAGTTTGTAATAAAAAATTTCCCGAATACTTACATTTAGGTGCAAATGCACATGCTTCATTCGAAAATGATTTGATAAATTGTTAAAAATCTACCGTTTTGGAGTTATCGATAGTAAAAGTTCGGATTCATTCGCGTCGCGGCAGCCATTACTGGCGTTGTTTGTATACATTTTCTGCGGTTAACTATAAGTGAAATATTCACTAGTCTTGATTATTGCGCACGCAATATAGTTCTCTTGTGCAGTAATTGAGACAAGTTGAGACGAGTAAGATCAGTAAAAAAAAAAGGCCGTTAACTACGTTCTTCCGCGCTTAGCTATTCCGTAGCAAATATATGCAAACAACGCCAGTCGATGGAGCATAAAATACGCCGAGTGTATTCCATGCAGAGGGATAAAACCTCCACAAAACGAACCACCTCTCCGGTAAATGTTTGCACAGTCAACTGTAAACCCGACCAACGTTTACCCATAGACTCAAGGATAAAAAAAAGACCAATATTTACCTATGGACTCTATGATAAAAAACGGCCTGTAAGCTCAAATATAAATTCGACCAATATTTATTTATATGCTCAGATAACTATGTTTAACAACTAAAAGTAATTTATGTATACCCATAGATTCAAGTATAAACAGAACTAATGTGTACCTAAAGACTTAAGTATAGACGCGAATAATGTTTACCTGTAAGCTCCTGTACAATAATAACCAATGTTTACCTATAGATTCATTTGTAGACCCGACAATGCTTACCTATGGACACAAGCATGATTCCAACCAATATTTACCTATATACGCAAGTACAAGATGCTGACTTGACATTAAATAACCCAGTAAAAGTTGATATGTTGTAAAATTCACCAACCCATATATTCAACTCGGAACAATAATTCATCGCATCCGATAATCATTCCAGATCCTTACGAAAAATCTGAAAATCTCCCCACTCCCACTACGTGTCGTCCGTTGCTAAGCAACAGCTTTCACCAGAACAAGGTTAAAGGATTTGATAGGATTAAAATCCTTGACAAACTGTCTCAAAGAAAAGCACGGTCATGATAAACTGCCCGTCAAATCAGCCCACGACATTTCCTGCTGATAACTGATTAATTATTAAGTCGTTAATGACTATTTTATAATCACTTGCCGATGAACATAAAAAGAATGTGGAAGGAATGTTTGTTCTGCAGTTGGGGATAATTTCTTTTTTTTTGTAAATAATGTTCATCTATTTCCTGAGTTCAGAAGGGAAGATGCTCTTACAGAGTTGTAATAGATGAGGTTGCCGTTGGTCATCAATTTCTAGCTGGAGGAACCACGACTTGTTGCTAAAGAGGGTGAAAACTTTCAAAGGAAATGAATTCAACACTTTCAAAAGAAATTAATTTCAACACGGAGAGGAATTTTATATACGTTTTTTTATGAATAACAGCATCGCTTACAAAGGAAGAGAAAGATAACATTATATCTATTTGCATACAGGTAGCTAAAAATCGGAAACAAAAGACTTATGAATGCGACACGTGGTTGGGTTGAAATCATATAGTCGTCTTGCCTAGGGGAAAAATTTATTCGGAGAAGACGAGATGATATCTTTGTCGCAAATAGAACTCCGAGGAGAAAGAGAAAGTAGTAGTTTATATCTTTTATTTTATATTCCTAAATAGAACACCACTTATGTGGGCCTACTGGCCGAAAAGGTCGGGATAATATTACAATATAATTTCCGAAATTATCCTGAATTTTCATTTTTCATTAATGTTTTTTTTTTTTTTTTTATATTTTCTTTTCATTTTTTTTTTCGTCATTAAGATTTTTTTTCTTAACCTAAAAGATGTTTGGGTACTGTAACGATTCCGAGCACGGAAAGCGAAATTGACAAGTGAAGTTCAAATCTGCTCCTACTCTGTTGCGTTCACTTTTGCACTAAGTATGGATTAAATAGTACGGTAGACTGGACTCTCAAACCTAGTGTAGAAGCCATTCTAAAAGAAGGATGACTTCTGCAGCTGATGCAGTCGGTGAATTCTTGGCCAAACCGACAGAACAAGCAAACGTTGTTCGTTTATTATTTACATTCGTACTATTGTCCTCAGCTTTGTTCTCATTATCACAACGTTCCATGTGCTATCCACGCCGACCTTCTTCAAGAGTCTGTTAATTTCGAACTGAACCATTCATTTAACCTAGGGAAGTAGATTGATTGCACACATTCTGTAGCCCATATCGAGGGATGATAACTCGTCTAGTTTTTATTGAGATAGAAATTATTCGTTTATATTTGAATTTATAATTGTCTACTTGGTTTAAGGGTAAGTTAGTCATTCATATTTGAGTCTGCATGTATTTACTTTGTAGGTAGTCCATTTTGCAAGGAATTTACTTTGTAGGTGGTCTATTTTGCAAGGAATTTAATTGTAGGTGGTCCATTTTGCAAAAGAATTTACTTTGTAGGTGGTCCATTTTGCAAGGAATTTACTTTGTAGGTGGTCCATTTTGCAAGGAATTTACTTTGTAGGTGGTCCATTTTACAAGGAATTTAATTGTAGGTGGTCCATTTTGCAAGGAATTTAATTTGTAGGTAGTCCATTTTGCAAGGGATTTAATTGTAGGTGGTCCATTTTGCAAAAGAATTTACTTTGTAGGTGGTCCATTTTGCAAGGAATTTACTTTGTAGGTGGTCCATTTTGCAAGGAATTTACTTGGCGTATTGTATTCACCCCCGATTAAGCAGACCGGACTTTGGCGATCTGCTTCTGAACGAAATAACGATTTATGGTAATAGTAACCATTTCCTTATAAGGAAACACTTGGCACCCATTGAGCGAGCAACCAGTGCTGCTGTCGGTGGGAATTTATACAATCTTGATTTTCAAGCAATTTTTCATGAAAATCAGTTTCTGAAGTCCTTTAGCTGTTATCGTTCTTTCCAGTATTGATGGGGATTTGCTTCCTTGCCTTTTTGTTTGGGATAGTGTGGGATATCAGTATCTCGATTATATCATTATTCTCCCTTGGAGTTACATGTGCTATACGTTTCAGTTGTTGCTGCTGCTGATAGTCCTCAAGTGATGTGGTTTCTCTTTTTTGTATGTACAGGGAGGAATGGGTAAATTTTCGCCATTTTATAGTTTTAACTTCGCGTTGTTTGTGTTTGATTTAGTCGAATGCACAGTATAAGATGCTTAAGATTAGCGCGATGGATAAAATCGCCATTGGTTTCAACTACGGCCTCCAGACGACTTTGGAATCTCCTGCAACTCTTCTGGACGGCATCCTTGTTTAAGTTGGTGAATGCTGCCATAATCCTTGCCTTCAGATCATCTTTGCTATTACAAGAAGTTTTGTTGTTCTCTCACTCAACTCTGACCCACACATAATAATCAAGGGGGTTGCAGTCTGGGGAGGTTGGTGGCCAGATGTCAAAGGTGATATCTGAGAGCCATGACTAGGTTCTTCTGCTTGTGTGGCATGATGTTGCCAGACATAGAATATTCTAGTAGCGACCCTCTTAACCCAGGGGAGGACTACCTTCTCAAGGCACTTGATGTAGGCCTCTGGATTGAGTCTGAGGCCCTGTGGGGAGATGAATGGAGGCCTAACGTCGCCATCACTAGTGATTACTCCAAATACGTTTGGTGGGTCAAGAGCTATTGATGAGAGAAGTAAACGAGAAATTTCGCGCCAAGTACGAGCCAGCAAAAGGGTTGCTGTGGCCTAAATTTTGCTGTTCGGCTGTATGTGGTTATCTGTTCTCGGTAATAATATTCTTATCATATGTTGGGAGAACCACGTAAGCTGTTCGAAGAAAGTTAATCTAGAACAGCTGTACTAGAAAGAAATCGGTGACAGTCAAATCGCGCGTTGTATTTTGTCTATGCCACATTATATACCTATTTTGCCGATGTCTTTTCCGTGTACAGTTAAATTTTATTTTGGTTCCATAAGGATCTAGTAGAAAATGGAGTGCAAGGAGGGCTAGGAGAGGAGAGTAAGGAGTGCGGAGTAAGGACAGATGAAATATGTTTACGCCTTCTCGATCGTGATTTTAACAACGTTGTTTTATTCCCTGTCACCACCGCAAGGAAAATATTATTTCCCCACCAGTACGTGCCGCTAATCAGAAAGAAAAGAAAAATTGCGTCATGTTGCGAAGTTTAACGTTTTTAGTTTCTATTCGGTTTTTTGGAACTCACGGGTAAATATCGAAAAGAACCGGATTCAAGTCAGTGAAGAGTTTTTAAAATCCAAGAGGCGTATCTATCTATCTATCTATCTATCTATCTATCTATCTATCTCGGTATTTTCATATCTATCTATCTATCTATCTATCTATCTATCTATCTATCTATCTATCTATCTATCTATCTATCTATTTCGGTTATCAAGAAAGCAAGGATGTCAGTTAGCTATCGGTTTCGGTCTTTTCGTATATTTTTCTCTATCTGTCTATCCATCTATCTCAGTCTGTTCACATCTATCTATCTATCTATCTATCTATCTATCTATCTATCTAAGTTTGTTAATAAATAACTATTAGTCTATTTATATTTAAGTCTTTTTATAAATAACTAGTTATTACAATTTTTCATATCTATCTATCTATCTATCTATCTATCTATCTATCTATCTATCTATCTATCTATGTTCATAAATAACTATCTATTACAATCTGTTCATATCTATCTATCTATCTATCTATCTATCTATCTATTTCGGTTATCAAGAAAGCAAGGAATCGGAATGATTAATATGTCAGTTAGCAAGCGGTTTCGGTCTTTTCATATATTTTTCTCTATCTGTCTATCCATCTATCTCAATGTGTTCATATCTATCTATCTACTTTCATAAATAACTATCTATTACAATCTGTTCATTATCTATCTATCTATCTATCTATCTATCTATCTATCTATCTAAGTTTGTTAATAAATAACTATTAGTCTGTTTATATTTAAGTCTTTTTATAAATAACTAGCTATTAATCTGTCTGTTCATTATCTATTCATCTATCTATCTATCTATCTATCTATCTATCTATCTATCTCAGTCTATCATTATCTATCTATCTATCTATCTATCTATCTATCTATCTATCTATCTCTGTTCATTATCTATCTATCTATCTATCTCAGTCTGTTCATTATCTATCTATCTATCTATCTATCTATCTATCTATCTATCTATCTATCTATCTATCTCTATTATTACTTAAACGTTATATTTAGTGGATATTCGCATTTTAATTATTCAACAGTATATTTATTTATTTATTTACGTCTACCGGCCCGAATACTCGAGAACTCTTTCGGGCAGGTTTCTCTTAGGGGAACGCAATTTCATATCTTGTCGGAGACGGTATATTTTTTTCTAATAAGATTTCTCGAATGATAATGCCCACATAGACAAACCAGAATTTTTATAAACTTACATATGGCAATATTTACGGTTTAAATGCAACGGATACATGAGTGACCAATGAGAATCAAACAACACAAAAGTGAAAATTCTATAATTTGTATATTTTGCACGTATCTAAGTTTCTGACGAAGCTTTAATAAAAATGAAACATGTTAGAAAATTGATAAACCTTTCCGATTTGTTCTTTATTTTAGCATCCTGTCGGATTCCAATCATTATATCTATAATAGATCCTTCATCATATATATATATATATATATATATATATATATATATATATATATATATATATATATATATATGAAAATTTCTCTGATTTAACCAGTAGAGAAGACAGTATTTATGAATCTATCTGTAAGTTTTTTTTTTTGTTGACAAATGTCGATTTTCACAGATTTAGATTCATAAATATTGTCTTCTACTGGTTAAATCCAGACAAATTTCATAAATATTTGTCTTCATGGAAAATCAAAAATTTACACACAGATAGATTCATAAATATATATCATATATATATATATATGTATATGTGTGTGTGTGTGTGTATGTATGTATGTATATATGTATGTATATGTGTGTGGATGTGTGTGCGATGGCTGGGTGTTCTCTCAAAGGGGAATCCTGGCCTTAAACGTCTACTGGGAACGTTTCCTCTCCCCCAGACCTCAAGTGGAACACATATATCCGATCTATGGCTAAAGATGCTGGATAAATGGTCGGTTCATTGTACAGCCCCAGTAAGTATCTGACATTGCCTGCTACGAACCTATCATTACAAGTGCCAGCTGCCAATTTAGTTTTATTAAACATGCGAGCACCGACGAAGTTTTGGAGAAAACAGAAACAAATATGAGACTTAAACCTTATCTTCTGTTGCATGCATACATACTCCCGCCCATACTGTGCGTTACAGCAAAATTGTCCAAATCGTTTAAGACCAAAATTGTTAATTTGCTACATTAATCTTTGAACCGTTGTATCTGAAATGATTAAAGATATCTTACCGGAATTCTCCGAGGTTTTTATCACACTATTGGACTTTACTTTGAGCAATAAGAATGTATAATTACTCTCCAAGCTTAGAAGGATCGTGATGAATTTCGTTTTTAAGGTTTTCAGATAAGATGTTTAGCCATCTAGACACCATTTTCATAAGTATCACTGAAAAACGCATTGAGTTGTTCAGTTAAAAAGAGCCGGTTAAAATTGTCTTGTGTCAAACCCACTGTCTTCTAAACTGAGCAATGGTGAAAGGAAAAAGATCATTCAGGCCTTCATTAATGATACCCACATTCATACTCTGGCTTCTATCTTCAAAGTCCATTCAAGAACCATCAAAAAACGGTGAACAAGTTTAAAAAAGAGGGAACAGTAGAGAGGTAAACTTGATCAAGAGGTCACAACAGGAAGAGGGGTCATCAGAGTTAAAGAGATCAATTAGAAAAGATCCAACTCAATTCATCAGACGTTTGGAACGTGAGAGAGAAGTTTCGACTATATAACAGTCCAAATAACAGTGAAAAAGGACTTGAAAATGAAATCGTACGTGAAACCTGTGAGGCAACTTGTTACTTCATGACAGAAAGTTAGAAGTTTAGAGATCATCCTGAATAAGATGGAAAATGATACTGGAATATATATATATATATATATATATATATATATATATATATATATATAGCTGAACTTTATTTTAATCCTTCATGAGCTTCCGATCCTTAGATATGATTAATTTATGTTGAACATGATATTTTCATTCATGCTTCTGTTAAGCTTAGAGTGTAATTACACATTCTTACTGTTCAAAGTAGTGTCCAATACAACACTTCTAAGGTTAATCTAACAATTGGACAATTTTGCTGTTACACACAGTATATGTGTGTGTGAGCGTGTGCGTGTGAGTGCGTGCGTGCGTGTGTCTGACAGACGACCCGAAAGTAATGTATCCCGTTTATATCACGGATACTGCAAGACAGAGATTACAGTAAATGCCGTTCGATCGAGAAAGTTTTCAGCTACACAACACTATTTTCGTAGTCACTACCATTTTTTCATAGTCACCATTATTGGGTCAGTATTGTTGTCAGCGATGAACAAGAGCCTGCTTGTCGCACATATTTCTGTCACAATCCCCGAGAAATGTTCAACACCGCCATACTGTGCTCGCATCCAGTATTTCCTCTCTGTTATCTGCGGTTGATTTCAATGGGTACATTTTCCCCGCGAATAATCAGTGACATCATTACGCTTCGTACGCTTCTTATCAAACGTTTGTTTTTTGTTTTTTTTACTAGACTTTTGTTGACCTTTTTGTAATAAAGCAAAAAGCAAGATGGGTTGCTGGTAGGAAGGTTCTACCATTACTGCGATGCTCGTAGCATTCACTTCTGATATTGTTTGCCAACATGATAAATTATGAAGCATTATATGAGCTGTGAGCAATCCTCACAGTTCGTGTTAAACTAAATTAAATAATTTAATTTATTTTCAAGTTTAATGAGACGGAAGCTTCTTTTTTTTTTTAACAGAAATTAATAATTTTATTATTAACTCTCATGATTCAAGATGAATTAACAAAAAATGTCAAAATTGCAAAATTAGACTTTATTAGATATTTTTTTGTTCAGCGTGTCGCAATCGAGGCGAGATAAAAAAAGTGGGATCGACGCATCATCTGGTGACGTCATGGAAATCGACAAAAAAATAAACATCTGCTTAAATACTGACGCAAGATAATTTTGTCGTTAAGTACTGCACGTTGTATCCATGAACAAAAATACTAACTCCAGAAGACGTGAATTTTAAAGAAAGTACCGAGCATTTTCTCGTCAGAATCCACTTTGCACATTTATAAATCTATCATTCGCTCGTGATTGAACACTACAGCCATATCTGGTCAGTTGCTCCTACTATATGTCTCGAGATACTCGATAAAATTCAAAGAAGGATCTGTAATGTAATCGATCTACACTTGGCATCCCGACTTCAGTCAATTTCTCACCGACGTGATGTGGCTTCCCTCTGTCTTTTCTACAAATATTTCCATAGTAATAGTTCGGACGAGATTTTTTCCTTGTGTCCCGACTTCATCAATTCAAGCGTGCTACTAAATGGCAGCGAATGCTGGGTAATCTCTTCAAAAATGAAGACGAGACTTGAAACAACAGAAATGTGGTTCTACAGAAGGATGCTTAGGATACCATGTGCCGAATATGTGAGCAACAACGAGGTTTTGGAGAAAATGGAAACAAAAAGGAAACTTATACTTAACATCAGGAAGAGGCGGTTGAAATGTCTGGGTCACGTAATGAGGAAAGAAGGTTTGGAAAATCTGATACTCACGGGACGGATTGAGGGAAAGAGGAAAGCAGCGCGTAACATACTTGATGAGCTTGAGCAAATGAATGGTAGAACAGGGTTTGGGAGAAATAACAAAAAGACAAGACTTATTAAAAGCTACAAGGGGGAAGAAGATGTGGAGGGCAATGATCACCTATGTCCTGAAGGGATACGGCACATAAAAGAAGAGGAACTAGCTAGATGCAACCGCCACTTCTATCAGTTTCTTTTTTCACACTTCCCACCTTCGGATGTCCTGCTTCACTGTTAATTACAATCTTCATAAATTTAAATGCAACGTCAATCGTCATCTTCTTTCCCTGTTCCTTTTTTTTTTTCGTCCTTTCCTCACTCCTCCCCATTCTCAGTCTTCTCGTTCTCTTTCACTTTCACTCACTTTAGCCCCCACCTTCGTCCTAGTAACATTATCGTCTTGTTCGGTGTGAAATGACTAAAAAAAAAAAAATGATATCTGAAATTTTAGATGCAGAATGATTTAGATTATAATTAGAATACTTTATTATTTTTATTACTAATTTTATTTGATTTCTATATTTTTGTGGAACGCATGTTCGCTACTACTACTACTACTATCACCATTATTATTAATAATAATAATATTAGCAGCAACCTTAGTGTTCTTGTTTTTAATTTTCTAATCAGTCATAATTCTTTAGTTAATGAATAAATGCATTTCTTACGATTTCCACAGCTATAAAATCTCCTTTTGTATCTTAAAGAAGATAGAAACGGCATAAACTCAATTTTACCGTTACAATTTCTTCTTCTTCTTCTTCTTCTTCTTCTTCTTCTTCTTCTTCTTCTTATTATTATTATTATTATTATTATTTCCTTTGATTTCTGTTGTATACTCATTTTATTCCGGGTCCCAACAAGTGAGCTATGGTCAGAAATGTCTACTGAAAAAAGCAAAAAACAAAACATACCTAAGAGTACATAGATTTTACATAGATAAACTCTTTCATAAGGTGTGACTTGGACTTGTGAGAACAATTTTTATGCATTAATTTAAGGCATGGGTCACCAGGAATTCATTCAATGAGTCTATCAGAACCTTTTCCAATCAAACCAAGGGCTCTAACCACAACTAGATAAATTATTAATGTGGCTTTATTTTCTTTGATTTCTGGTGTATACTTGTTTCTTTCCGGGTCCTAACCAGAGACATAAGGTCAAAAAGGTCATGATGCCATTTTCCACTAAGCATTCTTTGGGAAGAAAAAAAAACACAAACAAACAAACAAAAAACCAAAAAAAAAAAAAAAAAAAAACCAGCAAAAAACAGACACCTAGGATCACACATATTTTACATAGATAAAACCCTTCGTAAGGTGTTAGTACAGTTTTATGTATTTCTTTAAATCATGGGCTACCAGAAATCCCATCAATGAGTCTATCAGAACATTTTCCATTCAAACCGAGGGATCCAACCAC